CCTGGCAAGCAATTCAGGCGCTGTTCTTTCTCATCATCATCAAATAGAAAACAAAAGCTGCGCGCAAAGTCGTCAAAATGAACTTGGAAAATTTATGAATTGCCAGCAGCTGTGAAACGTAATTTTATGAGTCTATTCTCTCCAGTTTCTTGTTTGCTATGTAAATTAATTGATGATGGGAAAAATAAATGATGTTTTTCAAAACATATTTATGGATCTCCCACGATGGTACCGCTTCATCGTGGCGCGGAGGTGACTCTGGGTGTCAAACTACGAAATACAGCGGAGGTTCATCCTCCACCAGGATCTCTCAAGTTGAGAAGGAGTTCGACGTTTCCGATCCTCCGGATGCCCAGATAAGAGTAGGCCATGCCAGAAGCACCACCGTCTGGCTGATTCAGTCACTAGATGGCTCCTTGATCCAAATAAGGTTAGCGATGGCTTGTGGTGAAAGCTTTGCAGACTCTTGCAGAGCTCTGCTATATTTGGGGAGAAGTATTCTTGCCCGTATCGCATGTGAGAGAAAAAGAAGCTCTGCACACTGGATCACATCTACACAGGCTTTCGGCACAGAACGCCATGAACGGACGAAAGGACACGTCAACGACTCACCATAGAAATTGTCTCATGCTCCGTAGCTGTAACGCCAGGACAGTCGCCACCAACGCCGATCTTCGTGCCCTTCTCGAAGCTACAGAGCGCATCAATTACCACATCGCCTTGCAGGAAGCAAATCCAGGAAGACAGACGTGAGGCAGCTAAGTGATGGCACACTCATCAGTCGTTGTGAGAAGGATCCATCACGTAACGTTTGAGGTGTTGGATTTGTCGTATACCCATGTGTTGTCCATCATGTTGATTCGCATGAGATCCTATCACCACGCCTGGTTATACTTCACGCCTTCCTCTGCATCAAAAAGCCATCGCTATCATCATATATATTATATTCCAACATCAGCAGCTCATAATTCGGAACTTTATGCTTTTTATGAGGATTTGGAAGAAGTCGCCAGCAAAGAAAACTCCTTCTAAGATCATCATGGGTGATTTCAATGCGGGATGCCAGAAGAAGGGGAGCACAGGATCGGGAGATTTGGATCAGGGCTCCGGTATGAGAATGGTTCCGCCGCACCACTTTTTCATGGCAACTCCATCTTCATGAAGAAAGAACACTAGCAGTGGACATGGGAGTCACTTAACGGTACGACTCACGCGGAAATCGACCACATTCTGACCAACCGAAGGTGGTGCTTACTGAACGTCAGTGGTGCCATACTTATACACAACAGTGATTTAGATCACCGCCTCCTTCAAGCAAAATTGCGATCAACCGAAAGCTGAAAAAGAAGGTCTACCAAGGAGTTGGAGGGAGGAGAGGAGTCGTATATGAGCATCAGATTGGAGGAGCTCCTGACGCTTGTGACTGGCCCATCGGGGAGGACTCGACGAAAGACTACGACCTGCTTTTTAGAGGACTGAGAGCCTGAGGTGAAAGCGCCTCAATGCCTCGCACAAGGGACTTGGAACGAATTTTGAAAGCCACCAAGAATTGCTAGAGAGGAGAAGAGCACTAAGGCTGGATCCACCCGCATCACATCTTGAGCGAC